GCAGATAACACAACCTTGCTCGCTGAAAGTGAGAAGGGCTTGAAGCACTTGTTGCAGAAGATCAAGGAATGCAGCCTTCAGTATGTATTCAGTCTCAATGCCAGGGAAACAAAAGATTCTTAACCACTGGCCCAATAGGCAATGTCATGATGGATGGAGAGGAGATTGAGACTGTAAACAGCTTCATCTTGCTTGGATCCACAATTAACACCCTTGATATGAGCAGTCAGGAAATAAGCAGATACATTGCAATGGGAAAATCTGCAGTTAGAGACTTTTCCAAATTATTGAGGAGTAATGATGTTAGTTTGAGGACTCAGGGGCATCTGACTCAGACCATGATCTGAGACTTGGACAATGAATAAGAATGACAGAAAAAGAATTGATGCCTTTGAGCTGTGGTGTTGGAAAAGAGCACTGAATATTCCATGGAATGCCAAGAAAAAGAATAGATATATTTTAGAGAGGGTGCTGCCAGAGTGCTCTTTGGAGGAAAGAATGATGAAGCTTCTCTTAACATACTTAGGACATGTTGCTAGGAGGCGCTATTCCTTGGAGAGGGACATGATGTTGGGAAGGGTGGAGGGTCGGCGAAGGAGAGGAGGACCCTCAACTGGTGGATTGACATGGTGATTGCTGCAATGGGCTCTTCTGTGTCAGGAAGTGTGAGGATGACACAAGCTAGGACTGGTTTCAGATCTTTTCTTCATAGGACATCTGTGAGTTTTACTCGACTCGATGGCACTAACAACAACACAACGAAAACCTACCTATTGCTGGACTTCTATTGTAACAAGTTGGCAAACACTGACTGGAACCAGGCTGCAATAAAACATGTCAATTATCACTGCTGCCAACCATTTTAAAATCATCTTCAGTGAGGTCTTGGGTGTGATAATAGTGACATTTTATAATTTCTGAACTCTCTTGGAATCTCTTTTTTTTTAAAAAAAAAATGGGAACAAATATGGATCTCTTCTAGTCATTGGCCAAGTCTGTCTTCCAACTTCTTGGCATAAACTAGTGAGCACATCCAGGGCTGCATGTGTTGGTTGAAAAAGACATAAGAAGTTAAGGGCCCATAAAAATCTCTGAAAGTAATAGGAGAGTGGGCCCCATGCTGGATTATTTAGAAATACTGCTGAAAATAACACCGTTAAACCAGAAGCTGTTCCCTTTGCCCCAATTAATGAGCCACCACTGGAACTGAATCAAGAACATATAGTTTTTCTGGGGATTAGGGTTCAGGAAGTAGCTCTGATTTTTTTGTTGTTGTTGTTGAGTAATTGCATGAATGGGGATTCCAGATAAAGAAACAAATCTATCTAAGAGAAAGGGCAATTAGGGTTCTCCTGAGAGACAAGAATGGTGAGATTTTATCTCATATATTCTTGTATATCATTAGGAAGAGCCAAACTTAGAAAAAGACATCATACTAAGAAAAGCAGAGGATCAGCAAAAGAGAGGAAGATTCTCAAGGAGTTGGACTGACACAGCTGACTGCCATAAAAGCTTGAGCATGGTAGAGATGGTGACAACGGTGCAGGATAGAGCAACGTTCGGATCTCTTGTTGACAGGGTTGGTGTAAGTCACAGTCAACTTGCTAGCATATAGATGCCTTTGAGGTGCGGTGCTGGAGGAGAGTGTTGAATATACCATGGACTTCCAAGAAAACAAACAGGTCTGTCCCGGAGAGGGTGAAGCCAGCTTGTTTCTTGGAGGAAAGGTTTTCAAAACTCTGTCTCACATACTTAGTGCATGTTGTGAGGAGGATCCAGTCCTTGGGGCAGGACATAATGCTTGGGAGGGGAGAAGGTCAACTCAAGGGAAGAAAGCCCTGGTAAGATGGATAGGCACAGTGACTGTGGTAATGCAGTGAGATGTGACAGAGGTGGTGAGGTTGCCTCAGAATAGGGCAAGGATCAGAGCCTTATTCATAGGGTTGCTATGAGTTATAGTTGACTTCATGGTACTTAAAACCCGAAAACAACAATAATGTTAAACATTCAGAATCACTGGGTGGAACATACAGTTTTAAGCACTTGGCTACTATTAGAAATGTTGCTGTTTCAAACCCACCTTGAGATGCTCAAGAATAAAGGCATTTTGAAAGGTCACAACCATAAAAAAAATCTAAAGACTGCAATGCTACCCTGAAGCATATGGAGTAAGTAAAAAATCTAAAGACTGCAACGCTACCCTGAAGCATATGGAGTAAGTTAGGATCTACTTGACAGGAGACTTGTTCTTTGAACAAGTTTTTAAAAAGACATTCAAAAGACATTGTTGAATCCTCAAATCTAAGGTGATGATTTAGATTCAAGAGGTTTCAACCTGCACAAGTCAGATTATTTGTTTCCTTTCTTTTTTAAAACTTTTTTTCTTTTTTAAATCATCAGCAACCTGAGAGAGTATTCATTTGTACCTCTCAGTCTACAAGCCCAGCTTTTACATTCTAGCTTCTGCCCCTCTTCTATACGCCACTAAGAGTTCTTAAGGAGGTCAACAATGAATCCAAGTCCAAACATCTAATGGCTTTCTTCAGTCTCTTCCCAACAATTGTCATTAGAAAAGCTTATATAGCAAATCTTTTGGAAAGAGAAGAAAGCATCATTACAGTTCACTGAGAACAAACCGAGCCAAAGTAAACTCATTTCCAGTTTTATTGGATGACTGATTAGTAGATCCAAGACCATAGGGAACAAATAACAACTAAGCCCACTGCTGCCCTATCAACCAGGTTTCCAAAGCTGTAACTCATTACAAGAGGAGACTGCTTCATCATATTTCTGAAGGAGCATCTGGGAATTCTATCTGGTCATAGCCCAGCAAGCTATGCGTTATGGTTCCAGGGCTCCTTGTAGGTCAGTACCTCCTGATAATAGTAAAAACTCAGAACTCACTACTGAGGAATTGATTCTGACTCCTGCTGACCCTCCGTTGGAGTTTTGAGGCAACAAATCACAATGAGAGGAGACAGTCCACCTTTTTCTCCGGAGCTGCTAGTGGATTCAAACCTAGAGACACTTGGCCTTTGGGTTAGTGCAACTTGATAATCTTTCACAACATCTTTACAGCCAGATAGTGGAGCATATCTTGGAAACACTCACAAATGACACATTCAAGAGGGAGGTCTCCATTATTTCTGTCCTGAGCTATGTTCTTGGCAAATTGGGCTAAAGGTAACTTTTAATTAATGGAGCTTCACAATAATGGCATGAAGAATCCAACAATCACCCACACAAGCAACGCTAACCAAAGTTACAGTTTTCCCAGAAGCATAAATGATCAAATAGTGTAAAGCCAATAATTTTAAAAAAGAAAAGAAATCATGTACATTTTCAGGCAGCGTTATTCTAATGATCAAAAGTAAAATGGCAGTCCATATTTATTCCTTCTGTCATGCTACTAGAAAGTTGAGTCAGGGTGTTCTCCACACCTGCAGTGTTAAATTCTGTAAATACATGTTACCTTGGTAAGGATATAGCTACAGATATGTAGTCAGGCTAGATAAAAATCTGAAAATATATATGTACCCCTAGAAGAGAGAGGTAGTGAAATAGCTGAACATAGCATGGAGAAAGACATCATGCTGAGAAGGGTGTGTGGACAGTGCAGGAGAGGAAGACCCCGATAAGACGGATTAATACAGTAACTATGGCAGTGGGGGTTGGTGTGTCAGAATCAGTGAGACTGGCTTAGACAGGGCAGGCCTCAGAACTGCTGTCGCTTTGGGTCACAGGTGACTCAATAGCACATAACAACAACAACAACCTGAATCATTGGCTTTTTGGATAACAGCCCAATTCTTAAACCGATGTACCACCAGATTCCTTGGGGAAACACATATAGGACACAAATAATGAAGAGAAAAGCACTTGACAACACAAAATACACACACTCAAACACATTGTTGTTGTTGTTGTTAAGTGCCGTCAAGTTGTAGACTACTCATAGTGGCCCTATGAACAAAAGACCTGAACAATTGTATTACTTTCTTCGTTTCTCCAGGTTTACAGAGTGTCCGGAGGCAAGTTATTTCGGAAGTGGATGTCCCTCCTGCTTCCAAGCTTGTTTTCATTGGGGAGCTCCACCAAACACTGTTCACCATGTGTAACCATTATCACATTTGACACATCAGTGTCACAGTGTTTAGGATCACAGCAACCATGAGTTACCTCTGTACAGCAAATAGACAGACCAGGGCTATACCACTTAGAAGAATGACCAAAAACAATTAAAACCAAGCCTGAGGGTCACAGATTAATATCACCCACCTTTGACTTGGTAGCATATCTATCCACCCGGCCCACAGAGCTCTCTCTAGGTTGGCACATGCGTGCTCTTAAAGGATTTGTGGTCTCAGACTCCAAGAACTCTTTTAGAACAGGTAGTGGAGGTACAGCCAGAAGACTGTGGGTGGGAAAATGGCGTAATGGTGGGCATAGCTCAATGGTGATTACTTTTACAAAACATATGAAAAGTATGAAACACAATGTCAATGAAGGATAGTGTGAAACATAATGCATATGAATTTTGTATGCACGTCAATATAAAATACATTTTTTAGTATATGTGCTGCCGAAGCGAGCACATAAAATACATTTTTTAAGAAAAAAGATTGTGGGTGAGGCTGGGATCAGGCCCTGGGCCTTTGTCGCCAAGGGGTTGGGACAGTGTAGCTGTGAAGGGTGGACGGCCAGAGAGAGGGTGCCAGGACGTGGAGAAGGGGGCCGATGGCGGTAGGGGGCGGGGCCGATGGCGATAGGGGGCGGGGTCTGGGTAGGTCCGGGGTCGTCGGGGTGGGGCCGGGGCCGGGGCCGTCAGGGTGGGGCCTGAGTGGTCGGGGACGGGCCGAGGGCGGAGCCTGGATGGGCGGGGGAAGGGCCGAGGGCGGAGCCTGGATGGGCGGGGGCGGAGAGGGGAGGCCGGAGCAGCCCTGGGTCCAGCCTTACAGCACAACCTTTTTGCACTTTCCGGGGACGCAGGCGGATCCGCCATGGCGCTACGCGCGGCAGTGTTTGACCTGGATGGGGTGCTGGCTCTCCCCTCGGTCTTCACCACCTTGGGCCGCAACGAGGAGGCCCTGGCACTGCCTAGGTAAGGACTGGTCGCGGCTGTGCTCTCTGGGGAGCCAGCTTCTGCGCCGAGCAGGTGGGTGCTGGCTGCACTGCTGCCGAAAAGTTCTTTTCCAGAGTTCCAGGACTTCTTCAGATTGTCAGAGAAAGAGAGCGAGCCAGCCAAGTGGAAGGTTAAAGTAATTAACCTGTTTTAAAATTCCAGTGCATAAAAGTGAATCTTTTTAGTGCTAATTAAACTTTGCTAAAGGAAAATGCAGGATAGGACAAGGTTCAGAGGGTCGCCATGAGTTGTAGTTGACCTGATGACACCACACAACAAGGAAGACTCTAAAATTGCCCTTTAATTGGGCAGTTCCTAACTTGAGAGACATGACTGCTTGTCTGCCGCCCTCTTCTTGACTCTTAAATTAGAGTGGGCTTGAGAATTTGGATGTTGAATGTTTTTATCCTATAGCTGGCAATACCACGTAATGCAACCTCTTTTCAAGCTGAGGTTAAAATAAGGAAAAAATTTATTTCCACCTCTATGAAAAAGTGCCCCCTTTGTCACGGCGCCAGAAGAACGGAATGGTGCCATGAGACCATTCATGAACATTTTAATAGAAGACTCTGCAGCAGAATCTTGATCAAAAGATAATTCCTAATCTCACAGGCATGAAGGAATCGTGATCTTGATCATGTCTCATGGCAGTGAACAAAAAGTAATGGCAAAGCTTCATAATGACTTTTTCTTTTCTTTAAAATTTTATTTATTGAGTTATTGCTGAGAATATATAGTCATTCAATAGTTTCTCCAGGTTCAGTTCATTGCCTCACTACATTCTTGGAGCTGTATAACCATCCTAGCACTCTTTTTCCGAGTTGTTCCTCCCTCATTAATATAAACTCATTGCCTTTGAAGTTTCCTTTCTAATCTTTCTCTTGGACTTGGTGTTGTCAATTTGATCCCAGATAGTTCTTTAGAAAAGCATCACACAGTCCTTTTTCTTTTTTTATTAGTTAGATCAGTCTGGAGACTAAGGTGAACCTGATCCGGGCCATGGTCTTCACAGTCACTTGCTATGTATCTGAGAGCTAGACAATAAGTAAGGATAATAAAAGGATTGATGCCTTTGAGGTGTGGTGTTGGAGAAGAGTGTTGAACATACCGTGGACTGCCAGGAGAACAAACAGGTCTGTATTGGAGAGGGTGAAACCAAAATGCTCCCTGGAGGCAAGGGATTTGAAGCTCCATCTCACATACTTTGGCCATGTGACCAGAAGGGACCAGTCCTTGGAGAAGAACATCATGCTTGGAAGGATGGAGGGACAGTGCAGGAGAGGGAGACCCAGGATGAGACAGATTGACTCAGGGACTGGAGAAATGGAATTAGGTTTGTCAGAGACAGTTGGCTCAGAATTGGGCAGGTTTCAGAGCTAATGTTCTATAAGTGTCACTATGAGTCTCAGGTGAACAATAGCAAGATAAACTTTTGTTCAGTTTTAAGAAGACTTAAGAGGATATTTTTTATGTCAGGGTGAAGATTATTTCAGAATACTGTTATTCATTGAACAGCTCTTGGCAGCATCTCAAGGGATTTGAAAGCCAATGCTCTGAATCAGGTATACCATAGAGAGTAAATTTATCAGTAGCTGGAGAAGAAAAATGAGGCTACAAAGTCCACAATAAAAATAATTACATCTCAGGTAATTAGGACTTGACAGACAGATGTATTTGCAAACAAACAGCCATCCCTGCTCTATTTTGGTCTGAGTAGGAGGATCAAGAAAGTCTTAATGGAGGAAGTCCCTGGGAAGATGGATAGGGATTGATAAGAGAGGTGAAGAATGTGTTTGCTAGGTAAGAAGATTAGTGAGAACACAGATGGAAGACAAGAAGCATAGAACAAGTTCAAGAACAAGTTCTAGTCTAGTCAGAGAGTAGACTAGTAAGGAGAAGAAGTGAGAAAGGTGAATGGGCCTACTTCATAGTGTATCATGAAAGCCAGGCTGATGGGTGTGACCCAATGAGAGTCAATGGGGAATCTCTGAGTGTTTTTGAGGTAGGGTGAAGGGGAAGAAAAATAATTGTAAGATAGACAAATAGCTGCCATTGTGTCATTTTCCACTCATGGTGAGTTTATTATGTTCAATAGAAGAAAATATGCCCTGGTTTGTGTCTTCTTCACGCTGACTGGCATTTTCAAGATCACTGTTAAAGCTGTTTTGATAATCTATTTTGCCTGAACTGACCCTTTGCTTCACCGAACATAATGTCCCTCTCCAATGACTGATACTTTCTGATGATATGTCGAACACAAATGAGCCAGACATTGTAATCCATGGGTTCTCATTGGCTAATTTTTGCAAGTAGATTGACAGGCCTCTCTTTCCTAGTCTGTCTTAGTTCTGAAGGAAGCTCCACTGAAACGTGTCAGTAATAGCTAATCCGGCTGGTCACCTATATACTGGAACATAACTTCCAGCAATATAGTGAGCGACATACAAGCCACCACAGTATGACAAACAAGTAGTGGGAGTTGGTAAGAGAGAGAAGGAAAGCTCACTGTAAAATCTGGGAGATTATGCATGGGTTTGGATTTATGACAGGCCCATCCCCATGGGTCTGTCATAAAGTTCATGCCAGTGCAAACTGTAGCCCTGAACCATTGCCTGGCCTCCTTCCTCATAGGCTTTAGGCACTGAAGCGGGTTGCATGGTGGGGGGAAAAAAATCAAAACTGGGACTTTGGGAGCTTGGGGTGGAGCAGTGTGGAGCCTGACTGGAGTGGAACTGAAGAAGAGACGTTGGTGAGCCATGAGTCTGCTAGGTTATCGGCCTGGAAGAGTAAGGACCTGAGCTCCAAGACCCAAGTGAAGGCAAGCAGAAGCCTGTGAGCCACATGGAGAGGGAGGAGAGAGGATCGTGGAAGTCCATAAAGGCCTGTTTGAGGCTGTGGTTGGGTGGTCCATGTGGTTGATGTGAACCCCAGAAGTGAGTTTGTTGAATAACTGGGGGATGGGGGTACAGGGAGAATGGACTTTGCTATTGCCATGCAGTAAAGTGAAGGGAAAGGAACCATTTTTGGGGGGTGGGGGTACACTTGTTCGTGGTCATCCAGAGCAGTGTTTCTCTGAGGGTGAAGGTACTGAAAGTGTGATTACCTTGGTAGCAGAGATTGATGTGACCTAGAGTTGCCAGCATAATTTCCTGACTTGTTGGCAGTAACTGTTGCTTAACTGAATCTCTCCACAGACAGATGGCTTCATCATGGAGAGTCTGTCCAGGCGCATCGAGATTAAATCAATGTCAGCTGCCCTCAGGTCATACCTGATTCGTGGCAAGGCCATGTGAGTCAGAACAGGAATGTACTCCAGAGGGCTTACAGTGGCTAGGTTTTTTAAAAGTACAGTGCCAGGCTTTTCTTCTACTAGGGTGTGGCCTAATGGGTAAGAAGTTGCACTGCCAACCCAAAGGTAGGCAGTTTGAATCCACCAGCTGCTTTGAGGAAGAACTAGTGGGCAAACTCCTTCTATATGATTCACAGCCTCTGAAAACCTACTGAAGGGTCAGCTATGAGTCAGTTCTGACTTCACAGCTGTGAGTAGACTCTAACCATCAACCTTTCAGTCAACAGCTAACTATGTTAACTATTTGAGTCACGGAGGTATTCCCAGACTGCCAAGAAGGATTGTTTGCTCTGTTCCTTGACCAATAAGTGAGAAGTGATGATTCACAGCTGACCCCTCAGGGGTCTTTGAGGCTATAAATTCCACAGGAGGAGGTTACCCATCTTTCTCCCAGGGAGTGACTTCTTCATTAATTGTTAAAGGGGGGAAAATTTCTTTGAAAATAACTGTTATAGATCTGTTGTTTTAACCAAAGACAATATTCAATATAAATGTTTCAAGATAAGTGATCCCTTATTACAGTTATGCAAAAATTGGGAAAACATTTAAGAACCAAAACACCTTCTTGGTATCCTACTAATCTGTCAGTAAGTTTTTAAAGAATACAGCTAGGAAGTGAAGAAATGCTAGGGTTCTCAGACTGGGGTTACTTTTCATGGCTCTGGGCTTTTATGTGTTTCCAGAAGCATTTTCTTTCTTATATTTTAAATATTAATTAGGCTGGTGATAGAAGAACATCTTCTTAATATGAAATATTGAGATAACACAGTTGTGCTGCCAACCCACGCTGTTCAAATCTACCAGCTGCTTCTCCGGAGAAAGATAGCCAGTCTCCTTTTGTGTGATTTACAGCCTCTGAATACCTGCTGGAGAGTCGCTATGAGCTGATTAGATTCTGACTTGATGGTACAGGACAATAGCAACAATGAAGAGGGAAAAAATGAACATTTCCCTTCTCTTTTCTTTGTCTCTCTCCCCACCCCATATGTAATCACAGCTGATACACAATTCATTTACTTACAATACAAAAAACTCTTTAAAAAGCAGTTGTTGAAAAGAAAGCCTACTACTGACTGGGAACAAACATTTGGCAATATCATCTTAGACAAAGGTCTCATAATGAAAGTTTACAGAATCCTACACGGCCTGCAGAAGAAATAGACTGATAACCCAGTTACAAAATGGGCGTAAGAGTGACTTTTGTATCAGTTCTGGGGGTGTAATCTGTAAGGAGCTGCCCTGCTCTCCCAAAGAGCACACCTCTCTGGTGGGTCAAACCCAGCAGCTGCTCAGTGGGAGAAAGACGGACAATCCCTTCCCTCATAGACAGCCTTGGAGACTCAGGAGGGTCAGCAATGAGTCAGTTCCAGCTCGATGTCAATGAATTTTAGAGTTTATGTACGCGGATTTGCTGAAACATCTATATGCAGGTAGGAAGAGAGGGTTCTGTGTTGTTTTTCAAAGGTACATTTATTGTTCTAAGGGAGCTCTGGGAGTGTAGTCCACGGTCAGTTATGCTGCTCACCGACATGCTGGAATCTGAGGGGGAAGGGTGGACAGCCTCCTTCCATTACAATTACAGCCTTGGAAACTCTTGTGGACCAGAATAGACTCCACCGTAGTGAGTGAG